ATATATATATATATATATATATATATATAATTTAACGATTATTTTCTTTTCCAATGAATCTTTTTTTTTTCTCTTCTATTCTTCTTGTAAAGGTACTCTAAGGGAGTGAGGTAAGAGAAACATCATGCAGAACAACTTCTCCAGAGAATCCCTTAGCGATCAATTGATCAGTGCTCAATACCGCGATCGACATCCACATGGTGGCCATCATCATCATCATCATCGTTATCCTCGTTTGAGTCGTTGTTGTCGTCGTCGTCTTGCGCCCCATCACTCTTCACGAAGTTCAAATGGATTGCGATTGCGTCCATCTGCCGCACGTTCCCGTGATCTTTCTGGGCGATCGCAAACCACCATTCCAGGAAGGATAAGTTCTATTGGATCCAGTGGGAGATGTAATGCTTGCGGAAGTGGGAATGATTATACAGTGTGGATGGATGAAAATGGTACATTGGACGATTTTGGGTGGATTCCATACCAGCGAATCTATGAAATAGGGAACTATGAGGTTATAGGTGAAAGTATGCCGGCCCGTATTGACAATAATAATAATAATAACAACAGCAGCAACAGTAAAAGTAACAGTGAAATAACGGATAGTGATGATAAGAACAAGAAGAAACAAAAGAAGAAGCAACAGATAGAGAAAGGGAAAACTATTCTATCTGGTGATGATAATGGTAAGTTTCCACCATCATTAGATATTCCTTGGCAACTTCGTGAAGCTTATGGTGATACGAGGTGTAGTTACTTTGATTTTCTGGGAACAAGATATTTTTGGTTTCTCATTCAATTTTCAGTGCGAGTGACATTTGTGGGAATGCTTATCCCTGCTATATTAATTGCATTAAAATTACATGATCCTCCTTATATCTCTGTTTACACATTATCAGGCGTTGTACTTGGTGTTGGAACCTCTGTTGGTCAATCTGCAAGTTTCTTAATACAATTCCTACGGGCTGCCTGTTTATGGTTACCACTTGCTACATTCTGTATAGCCGTAAATCTTCGACGTTATCTAGTTGTATGGCTTATAGTATATCTTTTGTTTTTATTTATTATTGGATGTATCACTGCAAATTCTACACGACGAATGGGATTAATGTTATTTAATATTGCCGTTGTGGCGCATTTAGTAGGGGGTAATACCAATCTCATTTCACCTTCACGTTTATTAATAGAATGGCTTGTGGGTGCCCTTTTTGCCTTTGCGGCTACTTTAATCCCCTATCCACTTCTCTCCACAAGATCTGCACGATCAACCAATAAACGTCTCTTTACAAATTGTGCTACCGCATTTCGTGGTTTATTATCTTGTTTCTGGGCATCCTCTAATATTCAACGTAGTATGGGTATGGTCCGTATACGGCGTGTAACCTCCTCTATTGATACCTTATTAGCCAAAATTAATCAAACAGAGGATTTCACCGTTTATGAGTTTATTGTCTTTGATAGTTATGAGAAACGTGAGGTACGATTGCAAAAAACAGCATTAGTGGAACAATTATGTCTTAATTTACGCTCCATGACTCGTGTGATTGATATTGTTCAGGATAATCCGAGTATTATTGATGGATCTTCGCGTTGTACGGAGTTTGGGGCGAGTTTATCACGATCTATGGAAATTATCTCACGTGCGGTGGAGGAACTCTTTCATGGTCTCTCTAATGCCCAAAAATGGAAAGATCTTTATGAGTTAGATCCACTTTTTCATAACTGTGCAAGAACGATAAAAAAATTACAGGAGGAATTTGCGGATGCGAGTCGTGTACTTTTTTATGAACGAGACTCTTCACAGGAAATGGAAGAGTTTATACCACTTATGACTTTTTTTGTCTTTTCTGTTGTAAACTTTTGGTATGCATTAGATGAGTTTCATCGGCATATACGTTTAGAGCAGTCCACCTCTGCCCGATCCACACTTCGACTTCTCTGGCAGGGTTTGTGGGATCCCATTTGGGAAACTCTTTGTTTCTTACGTCGTCTCTTTACGAAACCTACAAAACCAGATTTACGAGTTGTGGTGGAATCTGCTAAAGTAAGTGTGGCGATGTTAATAGCGGTTTTATTCTTTTACTATGTTCGACCACAGTTATTACTCTTATCTGGTCCTTCTGTGATTGCTATTTTTTCAGGTACCAATCCTGTAGAGGCGGTACAGGCTTCGATTATGCGATTAATTGGTACATTGGTAGGATCTATCATTGGTTTCTTTGCCGCCTCTTTAAGTGATACTGTGGTTGATCACATTGTAAGTCTTTGTAGTATTACAGCCGTATTAACATTCTTTCGAACAGGTGAGAAATATGGTTTATTAGCTATGTATGCAAACTTTGTGGCAGTAACGAGTTTATCTTTAGTAACTGTTTCTACAGCAGATAGTGTAATAGGTCGTATGCAGCAGAATGCGTTTGCTATTATGATTTACTGTCTTATTACAATTCTTGTATTTCCAGTAAGTCCTGGGGAATTACTGATGAAGCGACGTATGAAAGTCCTACGCTCTGTTAGTTCCATAGTGGGTTCTATCATGACATTTTACAGTAAACCAACAGAAAAAGATATCCAAAAACAAAATAAATCCAATAATATTAACTCTCACCCTACAGATCATTGTACTATACAAGTGGAAGAAGATGGAAGTAACCTCAATAATCATAGTCATCATCATCATCATCATCTCTTCTTTAACAACCACAGTAGCAACAATAGTAGAGGTGGTAGTCATGATTTTGGTTTACTGAATAGTCGTCCAATGGCGTTTGTTAGTGCCCCAGAAGGCGATTCACGCATCCCTGTTCTTTTTACTGAAGTAAATAAATTAAAAAGTATTTTACGTAGCACTGTCAAGATTATGCCTTTCGCAGCAGATGAACGTGGTATTATACCACGTGTTTATCCACAAAAAGCCTGTGAGGCTATTAATACTGCCCTTTTTCGTATATTTGCCCTTGTTTATACAATGGCGTGTAGTTGGAAACTCATGTTTGAAAAAGGATATTTTACAGCAGAGGTTCGTCGAATCCTGCATTATATTTCTCCCATTGCCAGTGATATTCAATATAGTCTACAACGATTTGTAAATATTCTTTCCTTCTATGTGGAACACCCTAATTCCTCACTTGGACCTGAGTTGGCAAAGTGTCTTATGGAACTTCGTGCTCTTATTAATGAGTTTGCAGAGAGGGAACATCATGCTATACTCACAGTTATCTCTGAGGCGGTGGAAGTTCAAAAAGAGTTAAATAACTTGGCCCGGGAGAGAGAAGGACATGATGGAAATATTATTAATAATATTAATATTAATAATGATAATAATAATAATAGTAATAAGAATAATAATAATAATAATAATATTGTTAACAGTAGTAATGTGGATGGTCGTGAAGGAGTGTTGAGTCCCGAAGATCAAGAAGCCTCGTTGAGAACAGAAGAGTGGCGTTTACAGAACAATTCACAACTGGCCGAAAACACAACGCAGATCTTTACAAACACGCATTTACCGCATGAACAGAGAGCACGCAGACGAACAAGTCCATTTGGAGATAACTTGAGAGAATGTGTAGGACCTCAACGAGACCAAAAGGATGAAAGAGAACTTCAAAATATTCCCTCTACTATTGTTCCCATGCGTGCAGTAAGTGAGGCTGGTTCAGAAATTACTTTACACGATTCCGACGACGGGTCTAATCCGAACTCTTCGCAAGAGTCTGTGCACTTTGCAGAGGGATTTACAGCTCCCATCACAGTACATGATGCGGAGGGTCTTCACACTGTGACACTTTCTCTTGAGATGATGGGAAAAGAACTGAAGAGAGCCCTCCTCGCCTTTGAACAGATGGTGCAGGTCAAGGATTATTGAATCTTTTATTATTATTATTATTATTATTATTATTATTATTATTATTATTATTATTTATTTCATCATCCGTACAACAGATCGTGAAGGAAACAGTAAACAGAAAAAAAAAAATAATAATAAATCATACGAGTGAATGGATTAAAATATTTTCCGGGTGGATGTATTTATTGTGTTAACGTTAATTGCACCTAGGATAAATGGTACGGAACGTCAAAATTGTTTGATCATGTTTTTCTTTATATATATATGCGTATATTTATTTATATTGCATCCCTGCGTAACGAAAGAGTTTAGATGAAATAATGGTATTTTATATGTGTAGTTGAACTGTCGTCTTTTTTTTTTTTTTTTT